AAACTTAACCTAACTAACTTACGTACTACTACGTATAATAAATAAATAATTTAGTTAGTACCACCCACCTACCTACTACTACTACTATAGATTTATATATATATATATATATATATATACACACACACACACACACACACACACACACACACACACACACCACGTGTACTTCTTTCAACTCCATGTTTAAAACCAATAGAAAATGGATTTTGTCCCTTTCTGAATCTGCTGATGGTTATGTCTTTTTGGTGTGCAGCAGTAAATAGTGCCTCAGATTGTTTATATGCAATCACTATAATATTTGGAGATGGCTTGAAAGGGAAATGGATAAAAACTTTAATATAAGTTTAACATAACAGCAAATGTACAATGTTTCAACAAGGTTTTGTCATCATCAGGTACAAGTAGTTTACATTGATCTGTACCTGATGCTGACAAAACCTTGTCGAAAAGTTGTACATTTGCCGTTATGTTAAACTTATATTAAAGTTTTTCTTCATTACCCATTTAAGCCATTACCAAGTATTATTAGTTTCAAAGTGGGTTCCTCATCATCGAAAATGCAATAATGTTGGATTCCAATCACCTAACATAATTCTTCAATCTATTTGTAGCTTAGTTAGAAAGCCAGTAAAATTATAATAGTTTTAGAATATTCTACTTTTAGAGTGCAATAATGTTATATGTTTTCAAATGCATATTTGAAATAAAGATTAATAATATTTCATACTACTAACATTATTACAAAAAGTAGGATTTAGGGTGCTTCATCAACTGACAACAAAAACCATTAAGGCAAAGTTTAATTTTTACATACTGTTATAAAAGCCACTAAAATGTAAAACCCAGAAACTTATTAAGTTTGATAACAAAACTTTAATGAAAACAATTAAATAAATTTCTTTTAATATTCAATATCCTAACATATGTACATTGCATATGCACAAAGTAGTTTGTAACTCAACTGACTGTTTACATAAGCTGTTTGGCATATTCTGAAAGTCTAGGTGCAGCTGTAAAGCACTAAAACTAAATAAACTTAGATTTGAAAATTCTGTTATCTTTGACTGTAAGGATAAATAGTGTGTAATTGTCTGCTACAATATATAGTTCAGATTCATTTCATATTTTTCAACTTTTCATTTTACCCTACCCTGTTGATTTCCTTTCAGTTAATATCAGAACAGAGAAAATAAAATACAGAACAAAAAACTGACTTAAAAACCTTTTGACATTTATTAAGGGTTAAGAGGTTATGCAAAACTATACAACAAAAAGGCATTTTTATTCTTAACATGAAAATTACTTTTCACACAAACTTGTCAAGAGTCTGAGTCAAACTGGCTCAGTAAATTCACAAACATATTTTTAGTAAAATTACTTCTTTAAAAATTCTGATTTTTTTTGTACAGCATACTCATAACATTTTCAAAATGATAAATTCTGTAAAGATACATTACATAAATTCAGAATTAGAGTAAGCAAAGCTATGTATAGCTTCAAAGAAATTGGATTGGTGCAAATGTTACTGTAGAAGAAAAGTAACACTGCTCTATCCAACTAAGCTTTCCAAGAGTAGAAGCCATCCCCATCTCCTTTCACCCATAAGGCTTTTCAACTATGAGCATGAACTTCATACTACTTTGTGTTGTGGTCAAGGTAAGTAGTGAACTGATTTACAACAACCTAACCAAATCATAAGAGTCTAATTAGATTCCCATATACATTTCTTATTACTATTGTTTAACTCACATTATGAATTAATGAAGGTAAACTTTATATCAAATATTATTTTAAGTGAAAAAAGCCAATATTAAAATGAAAAGAAACACCTGGGAATAAAGCTTGAAAAGCTCAGACTTATGGGTAACAAGAACAATGCTCTATCCAAATTGAACTATTCGAGAGTACAATTTATCCCTGTCTACTTTCACCTATAAGGATTTTTAAGTGAGGATGAACTTTTTACTACTTTGTGATATATAAATAAATAAGGTGGTTTGAGCAGTAGTTTATGTTCCTGTGGGAAAGTTTCTAGTCAGAGCCTACTGTAGCACTGACCAAATGCATGCAACAGAAAGTTTTGAAGACTTGGTAATACACCACAGAGCTGGGAAGTTTTTTTATAATTTCTATAGATGTTCTTTCCATTTGTGAAAGTTTTTGTGTGTTAAATTATATTTGTCGTAAAGTTACAAAAACTTCCTTCCATGAGAAAACATCCGAAAGGTTTAAGTTAATTAAGGAAAGTGATGGCAAAGTATTCCTTGGCTCAAATCCTTATAAATGTTTATTGTTTTCCTAACACTGTACATACATGAACTGGCTACTTAATTATTTCTAATTACAATTGTAATATGTTTTAATTCTAACACTGTACATAAATGAACTGGCTACTTAATTATTTCTAATTACAATTGTAATATGTTTTAATCCTAACACTGTACATAAATGAACTGGCTACTTAATTATTTCTAATTACAATTGTAATATGTTTTAAATAAAAACATTATTATCATTATCAGTGATAGTGAAAAAACACATTTTCATAATTTGATTTACATTATTTTTGCACAAAAGGCAACTATAAGCAGAAATACGGTCACTTTCAAAAACTGAATTCTTAACTTTCTAATAATACACCATCTTCTTTCAATATGACTAAAATTTTAACACATACTCAAAAGAATTTTCCTTCTAGAATATTTATTGTCAACCAAAATCCACATTGTACCGAATTATAGAATAATTTTAATACTTAAACCAAAATACATACTGTCCCAGAGATACCCAACCAATGAATATGCGTTTTGCCATTAAAAGGTTAAAATACTTACCTATACAAAGCATTTCGAAATTCAGGGGTCATGTAAAGTGTTTGTAGTAAACTATTGAGATAACAAGTCATAGCTTGGTTTACAAGTCCCACAAAACCTGAAAGTACAAGTATTGTCTTTAGAATTTATTTAGCTGCACATAATTTAAAATACAACAAGTTATCTATAAAACACTGATTTGTGAATACATCTAACATTACTAACCTACATATATAACACAAATAAAAACATTTATGTTTCAAGTTTCTTAACTAACTAACTGATCAAATTCTGGAAGCTCACAGCACTGATCTTTACAAATTGTCACTGCATACTGAAGGCCAAATCCAGGATTGTTTGTAGACCATTAATCTTCTCACTACAGGTAGGTCAAAGTGCACGTCACAACCTTGTACAGAGTGACATTCAAAATTTAATTAAACTACTTTGTCATCAATATATATGAATAAATATGGCATCAAAACATAGTTAATAAATTAAATGTTAATATTATGTAAGATTTAACTATTTAAATCATAAAGAATATAATTAAATGAATTCTCAAACTCCTTTTGTATATCTATCATGACATTTGTTCACTCTGGTTTGCCCATCCTCTATTTTTTCATCACCCATCTTTGGTGTGCTGAGTTTAATGTAAATCACTCATTTCAACATAGATATTCATAAGGCATAGCATAATATTTATAGCCTTAAATATTCTTAGTTTACATAGATATATAGTAGAAAGTCAGGACCACTTGCCACACCTACCTATCACATCCTCTCATTTCCCAAATTGTCAATAATTCTCACTGGCATTTGTGATTACATCATATATAACCAAGTGACTTATAATACTGCCTTGTTCTCAGCATAGATATTATTAGTCATTTCACCTCAGACTGAAAATTGCTGTCACCAAGTTGAGATCAAGGCACTTATGTCTTAGTTAGAAAGCAGTTAAAATATAATAGTTATAAAAAAATTTGCTTTGTAAGTGTTATTAAATTATCTTCTTAAAGGAATATTTGAAATAAATAAATGTTATTTAATGTACTAGTATCATCATTACAAAAAAATAGGCTTACATTTAATCAGCAGACACAATGCAAATATAACAAGAGGCCAAACCATAAGTACTAAATTTTTTTTATGTATAATGTTTTATTTATTGTTATAAAAGCACCTAAATGGTAAAAATTTTAAAATTACTAACTACACAACGTTAGATTAGGTAAGGTAATGAAAAAATAATAATAATAAAATTCTCCCAGGGGGAATGCTCATAAGTAGCTCATGGTCTATGTCATTTAGCACTGTAACATAATATACATGTTTGCCAAGTGATTTACTGTTCATATCACAGAATCATTAGTTAAACATGGTTCAATGGGCAATAAAAGAACAAAATTAAACAGGAACAGATGTATACTGTTACAAGATTTAAGCTATTTAGGATAAACAACTGTAGCTTCCTATTACAATCTGTAGCCATTCTAAAAAGAAAAAAAGGTAACTGAGATATATTTCATATTTTTTGTGGTGGTTAAAAGGTCAGTCAAATTGACCAAGTATGTATAAAATTAGGGTCACACCTCTAGTAAAAATACTAAATTAAGAAAAATCTGATTTTTCATTTACAAAAGACTTGTAATGTTTATTAAAAGCTTGCCAAATTTTGTGAAAATACATTTACTACATTAAAAGTTATAGTATGGATACTTTCATGGTTATTTGGAGGTTACAAGGTTGGTCAAAATGACTGGGCACATATGAAAAGTTAAATCATCTCTTAATACACTAAAAAGCTGAAATATTTCACAAAAAATATAAAATTTATTATAATAAGGAAAAGACAGAAGACTACTGTACAGTCGTTCATCTGGATAAGTTGAACACTTTCATAATACAAAGTGTTTCAAGAGCAAACTCTTATAAAATAAGTGAAATACCAAACAAAATTAAAACATGAAAACAAAGAAGTTTGTAAATACACATACAAACAATACATTACGTAAACAAAACTACAGCTTTCTGTTGTACAAATATATCAAAATTAATGCTCTGTAATAGCTGATTACATTACTTTCCCAATCAGTTTATGCTCACAATACATTTTTATCTCTATACATAATTTCAGAAGCTTTATGACTACTGCCCTTAATAATTAGTCAAGTAAAAATAAAAAAATACTTATAAAAGATTAAGAAAATACTCATATTATTAAATACTTAAAACTTAATACTTTTTTTACCCTTCAGAGAATAACATAAGCAAACATTTTCCTTCCCTGCATAAGGGGAGGGGGGCACAAAACTGAAAACTGTAAAAAATATGTTTTTCCACACACACAAATAAAAATTTTCAACTCTTCCCTAAAAAGTAATTAATCATAAAGATAATTAAAATTTATTTCCTATTGACCCACCAACAATAGTACTGAACCACTATCATGACTAAGATATGGTGTTACTAGAGCTAATCTGGGAGAATAGTGGAGAAGCAGAAATGAAAATTTCATTTGCATCAATCTCTTCAAGTTTTTAAATATAATTCAACTTTTAAGCAACTCTTCTAAAAATTTCTATCTGAAATATATAAAAATAAAAATATTCACCCAAAAAATCAAATGTTTAAGCATTTGATTTAAGAACACATCTATAAAATTAAAGTAAAATGAAGTTACACTGTAAATGCATGCATGCTATTAAAAAGACAATAACATTTTTTCATTCAAAATTGTTCACAACTTCCAAAAGAAATTCACAGAATAAGGAAGGAAAAATTACAATCTCATACGTGTGCATTAAAACTTTTGTTCCATTATTTTAACCACCTAGGCTATCAGATAATTGAATTTTATTGGGTAAATGATTATGCCCTTGAATATATATTCTTTTGAGTTTTCACCCAGCTATATATATATATATATATATTATTTTTTTTTGTTTTTTTTTCAAATTTCACTCTTCAAAGTAGAGAGAATGAGTGGGAAGTGTGAGAAGAGGTAAGTATTTATTGAAAATGTATTTTCAGTGTAGGAAAATATAGACTTCAAATACAATTCCTTTCTTCTTCTCCCAGTTACATCTAGAATCTCACATTGAACAGGTTGAGGGACCAGTGTAAAATGTCCTAGATGAGCACCCTTCAAAAGCATCTGCAAAGCACCCATGGAGGGTGTCCTCTCTATATAGAGGAAACACACCCATGAGAGACCACCACACATCCGAACCAGGTATACCCTTTGCCCAAGTGGAACTAACTGGAGTTGTGTCACAATCAAAGGGCAGAACAAATGATCCATCCTAAATCCAAAAGGAAGAGGAATGTATCTAGAATGGCTATGGCATGTCAGACCATAATTGGGAGGTCAACTCTAGTCCAGACCAGCAGCACTGGAAGGAATTCGACCAGCACCTGGCAGGTGGAAGGTCTTGAACCATTTAGCTTAGATGTACAAAGCAGAAGGAAAGAGTAGCATCCATTCCAAGAATCTAAACCAACATGTGTGCAAATCCAACACAACTTAGAACAATAAATCCCGGGAATGTATAATGCAATATGGAGAGTCAATACCAGTCCAAAACCAACTGGTACTGAGGACATAATATGCAGTCTGTGGTAGAAAGAAGTTCCCAGTCCACTCATATGTGAGGACTTAAGTTAGCTGATCCAGCTCCAACCAAAACCACTTGCCCAGGAACCAACATCCAGGCAGCCATAGGAGGGAGGGATCCAAGCCAGAGGAGCAAACTGCAAAATATATGGAAAAATACAGTCCAGACTGGCAGCATCTGGAACAAAACATCAGACCCACAGCAAGAGGATAGTTAAGCCTTCTACACAGACAGAACACCTTCACCCTACTCTCGACTGGTTGTAATTGTGCACACTCAGGATCCACCACCCCAGTGGCTAGAAGTTTGGAAGTGGTAAGGACTCCCATACTCCACTAGAAGAAGGGGAAAGAACCATGTTGGAGAGTCCACAGGACAATGGGTGACAACAAAACTTTATTTTGAAAAGCAGACCATTCCCAATTCCAGCAATCTAAGAAACACTAGAGTTGTTAGTCCATGAGTATACAGTCCAGTCAAACATCTTTAAGACACAATATATCATGAGAAAGAACCTGCAAGCAGTCTTGTGGAACACCCCATCTCAACAGTGAGTGTGATAGACCTTACATATCTCACAGTGCACATTTTGGATATCATTATACTTGGACAGGCACCACTCACCACAGAGTGGGATCTATAACATCTGAAGAAAGCCTTTGAAAAAAAAATTAAAAAATAATTTCCCCCATAGAGTTGTACCAATGTATGGAGAATCGTTACAGAGGGAAGATGATATCTAGCTGAGCAGGAAACCTCCATATGGTGCAAGTACACCAAGTTGTGGGGTGTGGTCTACATGCTGGCCCAGATAATCTCCTCCAAAGAATGACAGAAATGAGCAGCCATCAACATTGGGAGAAGACAGATCAGATGGGACTATACACAGAACAATTTGCAAGGTTCGGGAGAAAGGGAGGAGTACCCAATATGGATAATCTGAAAACCCAAGAAAGGAGAAATATCATGAGAAATGTACGGATGAATTCCAAGGAATAAACTAATGGGAGTGAGGTTAATGGAAGGGTACTATGCTCAACACGTATCACTGTAAAGCATAGGCTGGACACAGGAAAAGATCTGGGTCAGAGTAGGAGTAAATATGGGATATGGAAGGAAGGAAAATAACTAAAGCAGAAAACACTGTAAAAACTGGAAAAATGTAAGGGAAATGACAGGGCTGCCCTATAGCCAGTAATGGTTGAAAAGGGCATACCCTTGTCAAACAACCATGTAAAAACAGATATCAGATATCTGAGGAAAGGAAAGGGAGAATCCATGCCAGAGGAGGGACCAAGAGAGGGAGAGGTAATGAAGGTTGTTCCTGGAGAAAGGACAGGGACAGAATCACTGTTGAGCCAGCCAGAAAGGAGCAACAAGAAGGACCTGACACAGAGTGGATTGGATGATAGAAAGTACTTGGGGTAAAAGATGGAAGCTAGGATATTCACAAAGGAAAGGTCCTATCAATCCTGGCTGCATGCATCCATGGCCA